AATATGTTCTCTTGCTGCGCAATTTCTGCTCAACTCCTTTGTCAACCAGCAGTCATTAGCCCCAAGAAAGAGCATTTGCTAGGAGAGTTCACGATAGTGAACGGTAACTAGGCATTTACCGGTAACTAAGCATTTACCGGTAACTAAGTATTTACCGGTAACTAAGCATTTTCCGATAACTATCATGAACGCCCATAGCAGCACGGCCAGAGGGGTTCAGGTTGTCCAGCCAGGCAGCATCCCATGCTGCACCTGCCGCCGTGCTAAGTTGACTTTTGAGTCGACTCAAACTGCATCCTCGTTATAAGCAGCAGCATGCACGCCCAGAGCAGCACGGCCAGAGGGGTCGAGGTTGTCTAACCAGGCAGCATCACACGCTGCACCTGCCGCCGTGCTAAGTTGACTTTTGAGTCGACTCAAACTGCATCCTGCAGGTTGTCTAGCCAGGCAGCATCCCATGCTACACCTGCCACTTACGTCCTTTGCCCCAACCAACCTTCCTACCTTTGAAAGCTATGGACCTCGGGTTTCAAAAGCAGCAGCATGCACGCCCAGAGCAGCACGGCCAGAGGGGTCCAGGTTGTCTAACCAGGCAGCATCCCATGTTGCACCTGCCGCTGTGCTACAGGCAACACTGGGACCTCCAGGGACAGTCAGACGAGCAGAGCGCTGTAGCAGAAAGGAGGACGAAAGGAGGTGTGGGGGGAAGGGGGAGGGAGAGTGATTAGTGCAAGGCAGCATCCCATGCTGCACCTGCCGCTGTGCTACAGGCAACACTGGGACCTCCAGGGACACTCAGACGAGCAGAGCGCTGTAGCAGAAAGGAGGACGAAAGGAGGGGTGGGGGGAAGGGGGAGGGAGAGTGATTAGAAAATCTCTGCAAGGCAGCATCCCATGCTACACCTGCCGCCGTGCTACGGGCGATGTTGGAACCTCCAGGGACAGTCAAACAAGCAGAGCGCTGTAGCAGAAAGGGAAGGGCGGTTGGGGGGAAGGAGGGACTATAAGTGCTACAGCCGCTGCCGTGCTACTGGCAAGACTGGGATCTCCAGGGACAGTCAGACGAGCAGAGCGCTGTAGCAGAAAGGGGGAGAGAAGTGCGGGAGGGAGAAGGGGGGAAGGGAGGGAGTTTAGGCGCTACGGCCACTTCTGTGCTACAGACACTGCTGTGCTACAGACACTGCTGTGCTACAGCCACTGCTGTGCTACAGCCTCTGCTCTGCTTCAGACACTGCTGTGCTACATGCGATGCTGGAACCTCCCGGGACAGTCAGACGAGCAGAGCGCTGTTGGATGGGGAAGTGCTTGTCGAAGAGTGCCAAATTGCTGGTGCACGTAATGAGGGTGAAGAGGTGTGAAGAGGTGTGGAGAGGTGTGAAGAGGTGTGGAGAGGTGTGAAGAGGTGTGAAGAGGTGTGAAAAGGTGTGAAGACACTGATACGAGCAGAGGGCTGTAGCATGGGTGGGGAAGTGCTTGTCAAAGAGTGCCATTTCGCTGGTGCGCGTAATGTGGGTGAAGTGGCATGAAGAGGTATGAAGAGGTGTGAAGTGGTTTGAAGAGCGTTGGCCAATATTTGGAGGCCACATTGGGTGCACAGCACACACCGAGGCAAGCGCACATCTCCATGCGTGAAAAGACGGCTATTGTCAGACTCTTCTTGCCTACCTGGGGCGTTAAAAGTGTTGTGAGAGAAGAGGTGTGACGAGGTGTGAAGAGGTGTGAAGAGGTGTGGATGTCAACGGGAGTTGTGTTTGGCCCCGTCCTCGCTTGGGCGGAGCCGACCGTGGGAGCCACGAAATCGCAGTGGCCCGTGGCAGCCACGAAATCGCAGTGGCCCGTGGCAGCCACGAAATCGCAGTGGCCCGTGGGAGCCACGAAATCGCAGTGGCCCGTGGGAGCCACGAAATCGCAGTGGCCCGTGGGAGCCACGAAATCACGGGGGACCGTGGATCCACGAAACCGCGGAGGACCGCGGTGGCCGCGAAACCGCGGGAGGACCGCGAAATACCCGGTCAACCAGGATACCCGGGCGACGTGCGCGAAAGTCGCCGGGGATGTTGTCTACGAAGACGATCTCGGGGGTGGTACGTGGCTGGTGGGCGCCGTCACGGGTGAAGTGTCTGCGCTGGGCAAGTGACGGGGAGTTGGGCGCCAATCAGCTGCACGCACCTGCGAAGTTGGTGCACCGTTGTCCCGCGGATGCAACGCTGTGCAGCCGACTTGCTGCAGCGTTGGCACACCGCGGACTGGCAACGTTGGCAAGCCGCGACTCTGCTCTGCTGGAGCGCGGTCGACCAAGTCGTGCTGGCACGCGGTTGACCGTGCTGCGCTGGCAGTCGACCAGCAGCCTTGCTAGGTCTGATGTAGTCAGTGTTGCCAATGTTGATACAATCATTCTGAACTTTTGTTGTCATGTTTTCCTAGTGAAACTCTTGCCAATTTTCCCCGTGAACTAGCAAGTAGTGTTAGCACTTGGAAACGACTAAGGAACGAACGAACGCAGAGATCACAACGAGCATCCGTGCCTAGCCCGCAGTCTAGCTCCCGTTGCAATAGTTATCTCCACATGGTGCGGTGAGCGTGGACGGCACACGACTTACCTTTTCTGTCAGGTCGACGTAGTAGTCACTTACCTATTGTGTTCGTAGGCCGGCAGCTGTGCGAGTCACCACCATGGTTGGCGTGGGTGACGCTGGTGTTGCAGACACCATGGAGGCCCGGCTGGCAGGCGCGAGGAGACGCCATGAGGCGCAGGAGTTTGGCGACCTCCCGTGGGCGGTCGTCGAGGCTGGCATCTGCGCCGTGTGGGCGACGGAGCACCCTCCTTCTCAGCCTGCTTCTCCTCGACCGGTGAACACCGAGGGCGGCGTCGACGTGGGCGTCAACGCTGGAGGTGGCCAAGTCGGCAGCAGTGCGGGAGGCACGTCGAGGCAGCGTGGTGTGATTCATGCCGATGAAGTCGGCGGCGTTCAGGCGCGAGGGATGCAGTCGTTCGCGGCTGCAGGGGCCCCGCGAAACTACGTCGGAGGCAGACGAAGTGAATTGGCGCCGATGTCGTCGACACACGTGACCGCGGGAGGAATTGCGCCGAGCTACGGCTACTTCAAGTTTACGCCGGACAGGATCTCGGTCACCCCTCTGCTGGTCGGTCGTCCCGACATCCTCACGTGGAAGGAAGCCATCGAGCCCCAACTGGAGATGGCCGGGCTGATGGGCTTCGCCCGCGGGACCGTGGCGACGCCAGAGGAGCACCACCCCGACCTACGAGCAGAGTTTCGCGCCGTGCAGTTGCTGACCTTTACGGTCATTTCGCGGTGCTGCTCGTCGGGCGTACAGATCGCTCTGAAGTCGTGCAGGGAGTACCTCGACGCCGGCCACCGGGCGTGGCATTTCATCGAGTCAACTTACCAGGTCACCGACAACTTATTCATCTCCCAGCTTGAGGGGCAGTTGACGCACCTGCGTATGGGCGACGAGGAGACCGCGACTGACTACTGCAACCGAGCTCGGCGAATTCTCGCCACCATTCGGATGGCTGGCGCGGAGTACTCAACGTCGTCGTACGTCACACACGTCATGCAGGGACTCCCGAGCAGCTATAACCTGCTGAAGCGGCTGTCAATGGCGCCGAGCACGCGGACGACGCTCAACGAGGACACATTGACCTCGTACATCCTGCAGGACGAGGCGATGCAGGAGGCTGAGCGGTCCCAAGAGCTCCTCGCGCAAGTCCATTTCGCGGCCCCCGCGAAGCAAGGTGGTCGCCCGGGACAGCGCGGGTAGTCTGGTGGCAGTCACCGCGGTGGCGGGAAGCCCGCGAAGGACGCTGACAAGCAGAAATCGTCCAAGGGTGGCGGTCGTGGAGGAGGAGGTCGACGTCGGGAATGCTGGCTGTGCGGCGATCCCGATCACCTCTCCTTCGAGTGCCCCGATCGCAGCGATTCCGACGACGACGACGCGAAGGGAGGCCGCGGAAGTTTTGGCAGCTGTCGTCCGCGTCGAGGAAACCAACCGCGAAAAGAAAAGCAGTCGACGAAATCGACCTCGGCGAAGGACGCCGACTCTTCCGCGGGTGGCAAAGGGCGAGACGGTAAGGAGGCGTCGTGCTCGCTGGTCGGTATCGTGGAGCCGACTGTCTCGCTGGCGCCGGAAGCTGGCGAGGATTTCCAGGCGGTGGCGGCAGCTGTGCAGGCGAACCCCGCGGTGGTCCTGCTCGACAGCGGCTGCTCGCACCACCTGATGGGGACGAAGGAGGCCTTCGTCGAGTTGGGGCCGAGTGGCGACGTGAAGCACGTGCGTGGCTTCAATGGGGCGCTGCAGGACGTTCGCGGCCGTGGCACGGTGTCAAACATATAGCTATATGTTGTAGTTTGGCTAGGCTGTTAGTGGCAGTGGGGTACAACCCCTTAGGTTATACTCCTTGTACCAAACCCTAATAATCATCCCTTCTCCTTTGCCTTAGTCTCGATATGGTATCTAGAGCAGGAAGTCTCTAGACCTAAGAATAGGGCCCACCCGTACCGCTGTTACCTACAGTCTGCCTGCCTTACCTGCTTCTCGTGCGCGCCTCGGCTGCTCGCGCGCGCGCGTCACTTTTTTTTTTTTTTTTTTTTTTTTTCGCGCGCGCCTAGGCTGCTCGCGCGCGTCGCTTTTTCGCGCGCGCCTCGGCTGCTCGCGCCCGCGTCGCCTGCGCGTCCCGCGTCGAGCCCGCGCAGCCCGCCGCCGTACGCAGCCCGCTGTCGCGTGCGGCCCGCCGTCGCCCTGCGCGCCGCGTCTGTCGCCAGCGCGGCCCGCCGCCGAGTCGCGCGCCGAGCCGCGCGCCGCGTCAGCAGCCCACGCGTCACGGCGGCCACCTGAGCGGCCCGCTGCTGCCTAACGCACTGCTTTAGGAGCTCACGTGCGGCCGCTACTGCCTACTGCCTACTGCCTGCTGCCTCCTGACTGCTGCCTACTGCCTCTTGTCTGCTGCCTGCTGCCTACTGCCTTTGCCTGCTGTCATTATGACGACACCTAACGTTCTCGCGTTCGAGCCTGACGGTCGCCCCATAGAGTTCGCTGTGTGGTTAGACGACCTCCAACTGTTCCTTCTGACTGATGCCAAAGAGGGCGTTTCACTGTTCGATTACGTGTCTGGCACTGCCGTTGCTCCTGCTGCCGATGCTCCTGCTCTCGAACGCTCGCAGTGGCAGACTCGCGATGCTGCTGCACGCCTAGCTATTAGGAACCATCTGCCGATTACTGAGCGCGCGCATTTCAGCCAGCACAAAACTGCCAAGACGCTGTACGACGCTGTAGTTGCGCGCTACTCCTCCCCGGCAACTGCAGTTATAGGTCGGCTCATGCTACCCTACCTGTTCCCCGACCTCTCCTCGTTCACCACTGCTGACGACCTCATTTCCCACCTGCGCGCTACTGACACTCGCTTTCGTGCCGCCCTTTCAGCCGAGTTCTGCGCTGCCAACCCCCCCCCCGATGTACTTCACTCTCTATTTCCTCGTCACCCGCCTCCCTGACACTCTCAGCTCCGTCAGGGACCACTTCCTAGCGCTAGACCCCCCCACTCTCACTGTCGACGACTTCGAGACGCACCTCCTTGCAGCAGAGAAGACCATCCTCGCTGTAGGTGCTGCTCGTGGCACTCCTCGCTCTCCCCTCTTTGAGGGGTGCTCCCCCTCCCCTTTCACCCCCTCCTACGCCTCCGCAGCTGCTGCTCACGACTACCTTGGTGCTGAGGAGGTCGGGGCTGCTTCCGCTCCTAGTGGGAAGCGTCGCAGCGGCAGGGGCGGCAAGGGTGGCAGGGGAGGTGGGGGTGGCGGTGGAGGTGGCGGTGGAGGTGGCGGCGGGGGAGGCGGAGGTGGTGGAGGAGGTCGTGGGGGTGGAGGTGGTGGAGGTGGTGGTGGTGGCAGCGGAGGCACTGGGGGCGGTGGAGGTGGCAGCAGCGGCGGTGGGGGCGGAGGGAGCGGTGGTGGCAGTGGTGGTCAGGGTCAGCAGCAGTCGCAGCAGCAGCAGCAGCAGCAGCAGCAGCGTCAGCGCCAGACCCCCACTTCCCAGCAGCTTCTTGACTGGTATGCCGGGCGTGGGGCTTCTGGGGGTCCTGGTCGCTGCCCCTATATCATCCGCACAGGTCCCCGCACTGGTCGCCCGTGCATAGGGTTTCACACTGAGCAGCGCTGCTTCGCTCGGCTTAGCGACGCCTGGCGCGCCAAGTTTCCTGATGCTACAGAGTTCCCCAACTGGGCAGATCTGCGTAGGCGTGATGTACCTATCTTTGATCTTGACTATGAGGCTATTCTTGCTGCCATGTATGCATTGACTGTTAGTGCTGAGGGTGACTGCTACTTGTGTGTGCCGCCTGACCCAGGTATTGCCCCAGGTGTAGCGCCTGTGGCACTAGGTGCTTGTGAGTCTGCTCCCCCTGGTACTGCGTCCGCACAGGCCTTGCACACTTTCACACTTGACTCTGGTGCTTCCCGCTGTTTCTTTCGCGACAGCACCACAGTCACTCCCCTCCCTGCACCTGTTCGTTTCTCACTGGCTGACCCCTCTGGGGGCCCAGTGCTTGCACGGTCTTCCACTGTGCTTCCGTGTCCGGCGGTCCCGTCTGGTGAGCTGTCTGGTCTCCACCTCCCCTCGTTCTCTACGAACTTGGTGAGCAACGCCGTCCTTCAGGATCACTGGGTTGACACCTTTACTCCTGGAGGACAGCGTGTGGCGATCTGCACGTGCTCCAGGACCGGTCGGCACCTGGCCACGTTCACACGTGCGCCTGGGTCTAGTCTGTACACCCTCACCACTGCGTCACGCTACACCCCTTTGTCCCCCCAGCTGTACGCGTCTGCTCAGGTAGCTACCCAGTGTGAGTGTCGCAGCCTCTCGCACGACACTCTCCTGTGGCACCACCGCCTTGGTCACCCCTCCCTGCCTCGCCTTCGTAGCATGCACTCTCGCTACCTGGTCTCTGGCCTTCCCAGGTCTCTGCCTGCCCTCCCTCCCTCGCTTGCGCCGCCCTGCATTCCTTGCGTCGAGGGGCGGCAGCGCGCCGCTCCTCACTCCTCCTCGTTTCCTCCCACAGAGGCTCCCCTGCAGACTCTCCACATGGACGTGTGGGGCCCCGCCCGCGTCCGTGGACAGGGCCACGAGCGGTACTTCCTGCTGGTCGTCGACGACTACACGCGTTACACCACGGTCTTCCCCTTGCAGCGCAAGGGGGAGGTCCCTGATGTTTTGATCCCCTGGATCCGCGCTACTCGTCTCCAGCTCCGCGAGCGGTTCCAGTCAGACTTTCCTGTCCTGCGTCTGCACTCTGACAGAGGTGGTGAGTTCTCCTCCGACCTCTTGGCAGCCTACTGTGCGGAGCACGGCATCCGCCAGACTTTCACGCTTCCGGCCTCTCCGCAGCAGAATGGGGTTGCTGAGCGCCGCATTGGCTTAGTCATGGAGGTCGCTCGTACCTCCATGATCCATGCGGCTGCCCCCCATTTTCTGTGGCCGTTTGCGGTCCAGTACGCCGTGCATCAGCTCAACCTTTGGCCCCGTGTCTCCTTGCCGGAGACCTCGCCCACACTGCTGTGGACGGGGAAGGTTGGCGACGCGTCGCGTTTCCGAGTCTGGGGTGCTCGTGCCTTTGTCCGCGACACCACCGCGGACAAGCTCTCCGCTCGCGCCATTCCCTGCGTCTTCCTTGGCTTTGTCCCTGACGCGCCTGGCTGGCAGTTTTACGACCCCGCCTCGCGCCGTGTCTTTCCGTCTCAGAACGTCACATTTGACGAGTCAGTCCCCTTTTACCGTCTCTTTCCCTACCGCACTGCCTCTTGCCCCCCCCCCGCCGCTCTTTCTCGCTCCCGGTCCTCCCCAGGTAGACCCCCTCCCCGCGCCAGGTCCTGCTCCTTCAGGTGTTTCTCAGGTAGACCCTCCCGTGCCTGCGCCTGTTGAGGTCACTAGTGACTCAGGTCCTGCTGGGGGTGGTGCTGTCTTTGGGGGTGCTGGGCCTGGGGGTGTGGAGCTTGGGGGTGTTGAGCCTGGGGGTGCAGAGCCTGCGTGTGAGGACCCAGGAGGTGCTGAGCCGGGAGGTGCGGAGTCTGGAGGCGCTGCGCGTGAGCGTGAGGAGACTGGAGGTCCTGAGCCTGGGGGTGCTGTGTCTGGAGGTGCTGAGCCTGAGCGTGAGGAGCCTGGGGGTACTGAGTCTGGGGGTGCGACGCCTGAGGGTTCTGAGTCTGCTGCTGCACGGTCTCCTTGGAGTAGCCGCCTTCGTCCGCGTGTGCCTCTCACCTCCCAGCAGCTGCACGACTGGTACGGTCGCCGTCAGGGTCGCGCTTCTGGAGCTCGGGGCTCTGCCGCTGGAGGTACTTCTGCTGGCGTCACTGGAGCTGGGAGTGGTGCTGGTCCCGGAGGTGCTCGTACTGGAGGTACTGGAGCTGCTGGGGCTGGAGGTGCTGCTGAGCCTGAGGGTGCTACTGCTGGAGACCCTGGGACTGGAGGTGCCGGTTCCGGGGGTGCTACTGAGGGTACTGGAGCTGCTGAGGGTGCTGGAGCTGCTGGAGACCCTGGGACTGGAGGTGCCGGTTCTGGGGGTGCTACTGAGGGTACTGGAGCTGCTGAGGGTGCTGGAGCTGCTGGAGGTGCTGGAGCTGCTGGAGGTGCTGGAGCTGCTGAGGGTGCTGGAGCTACTGAAGGTGCTGGAGCTGCTGGAGGTACTGGAGCTGCTGGAGGTGCTGGGGCTGCTGAGGGTGCTGGAGCTACTGGAGGTGCTGGAGCTGCTGAGGGTGCTGGAGCTACTGGAGGTGCTGGAGCTGCTGAGGGTGCTGGAGCTGCTGGTGCTGGTGGCACTGCACAGCCGCGCCTGTTCTTTGCTCCACCGTCTCCGTCGTCTCTGCCACCGCCTGACTCCGTACTTCGTCAGGTTCTTAGCCTCCCGTCGTCTACTGGTCTTCCGTTACAGCCTGGCTCACCTCTGCCTGCTCCTTCTCCTTACGCTGAGCAGACAGGGGGCCTTGCTGAGCGTCGTGAGCCTGCGTCGCGTCCTGTCTCACCTGTCCGTTCTGGTCGTTCCAGTCGTCGTGTTCCTCGTCAGCGTCCGCCGGCTGTCCCCGGCCCTTCCCTTGTAGTCCGCCGTCCTTCCTCTCCGCAGCGTGTTCCTCTGCCGTCTCCTCCTGCGTCTTCTCTGCCTGTTGTTCCGGACCCTGAGTTTGACCGGTTTCGTGCTGAGCACCCTACTGTCACGCGTCTGCTAGCCACTGTTGTCACTGACCCGTCGTTTGAGTCGTCTGTTGCGTCTGCCTTTGTCGCTGAGTTGGTTGACTTTGCTGCTGCCTGTCGTCTAGACTACGCTGCTAGTCTTGTTGCTGAGTCTGAGTCTGTCTGTCCTCCGTCCGTCGGGGGTGAGTGTGCTCTTGGCACGGACGTCCTTGAGGACAGGCAGGAGGACCTTGAGTGTCTTGCAGCCGCTGCGCCTCATCTCGTGTCCATGCTGCTTGCCCCTGAGGGAGACCCGGATGCTCCAGACATCCCGACCCCGCGCTCTTACGCTGAGGCGATCGCGGGTGAGTACTCCTCTCAGTGGCAGACAGCCATGGATGCAGAGATGGCATCCTGGAAGTCCACAGGCACTTACGTCGACGAGGTTCCCCCACCTGGGGCGAACATCGTCAGTGGCATGTGGATTTTCAGGGTGAAGCGGCCGCCGGGTTCTCCGCCTGTCTTCAAGGCGCGTTACGTTGCACGAGGCTTCAGTCAGCGAGAGGGAGTTGACTTCTTCCAGACCTTCTCCCCCACCCCGAAGATGACCACTCTTCGGGTACTGCCGCACGTTGCCGCTCAGCGTGACTACGAGCTTCACTCTCTTGACTTCAGCACAGCCTTCTTACAGGGCAGCCTGCACGAGGAGATCTGGCTGCGCCGCCCACCTGGCTTCACTGGGTCGTTCCCTGCTGGTACCCAGTGGAGCCTCCGGCGGCCGGTCTACGGTCTCCGCCAGGCGCCACGTGAGTGGCACGACACACTGAGGACGACACTTGCGGCTCTTGGGTTTGCTCCGTCGACTGCTGACCCGTCGCTGTTTCTGCGCACCGACACTTCGCTGCCGCCGTTCTACATCCTCGTGTACGTCGACGACTTGGTCTTTGCCACTGCTGACACTGAGGCTCTCGCCCTGGTGAAGTCGGAGCTGCAGAAGAGACACACGTGCACAGACCTGGGTGAGCTGACAAGCTATCTTGGCTTGCGGATCACCCGGGACAGAGCACGCTGCACCATCACACTGACTCAGTCACACATGGTGCAACAGATCCTTCAGCGCTTCGGCTTCACTTGGTCCTCGGCACAGCACACTCCTCTGGCTACAGGTCACTCGCTCTCAGCTCCACCTTCGGACGAGTCCGTAGAGCCGAGTGGTCCTTACCCAGAGCTAGTGGGCTGCCTCATGTACCTGATGACCTGCACTCGTCCTGACCTTGCGTACCCTCTTGGCCTTCTGGCTCGCTACGTGACTCCTGGTCGGCACCGAAAGGTGCACATGGATGCTGCTAAGAGGGTGCTACGCTACTTGTGCAGTACATCGGGCATGGGGCTTGTGCTTGGAGGACGGAGCGACGTTGTCCTCAATGGGCACTCAGACGCTTCTTGGGTTGACGACCAGGCTACACAGCGGTCGTCACAGGGTTACACCTTCAGCCTTGGCTCTGGTTCGGTTTCTTGGCGTTCTACACGCTCGTCTTCAGTTCTCAGCTCCAGTTGTGAGGCTGAGATCTACGCCACAGCCATGGCTGCACAGGAGTTACGCTGGCTCACCTACCTGCTGACCGACTTGGGAGAGCGGCCTCGTTCCCCTCCAGTGCTGTACGTCGACAACAAGGCAGCCATTGCCTTGTGTGAGGAGCACAGACTGGAGCACAGAACGAAGCACATCGCTCTGCGTTACTTCCTGGCTCGAGAGTTGCAGCAGCGTGGTCAGCTTCGTCTGTGTTACGTGGCCACTCAGGCCAACACTGCTGATATATTCACCAAGGCACTTCAGTCTGGTGATCATCAGCGTTTCTGCACTTTGCTAGGGCTTGTGCCCACTTTTCCTTACTTGCTGTAGGCTTTGCTTGTACTGTGATCTATATATATACCTGCATGCTTGCTTTGCTAGGTAGAGATCACTGTGCTGTTTGTGTTGCATATATGCCTCTGCATGTGAACTGGCCTTGTGGCCCTTTGCTTGTGCTCAGAGTGTGTGGTGACGTTGTGATCCACCCTGAGCTTGCTTTGTACTTCCCGTCTGGTCTTGTGACCCTCTGTTCTCCCCCACGTTGCCTATGGGGGTGTGTCAAACATATAGCTATATGTTGTAGTTTGGCTAGGCTGTTAGTGGGGTACTCACAGTGGGGTACAACCCCTTAGGTTATACTCCTTGTACCAAACCCTAATAATCATCCTTCTCCTTTGCCTTAGTCTCGATACACGGTTGCGCTGCAAGGGGAGGCCGGGAGGCGAGTGCTCATCTCCGACGTTCTCTACGTCCCGGGCGTGCAGGCGAATCTGCTTTCGGCTGGCCAGCTGAAGGAGAGCGGGGTGACGCTGAAGGACGACGGCGACCGGATGTTGCTCGTCTCCGCGGCGGGGGACATGCTCGGTCGCGCGACGTACACTGGCCGGGTCCTCTGCACTGACCTGCGCCCATGCGCGGTCAAATCGGCGACGCCCGCGAAAGAGGAGGTAGCTCTGCGGGCGATCGTCTCGGCGACGAAGGCAACCCCGGACAGGCTGCACGCGAGGCTGGCACATGTTGGCATGGACACCATCCGGAGCTCGGCGAAGCACGAGGTCGCCACTGGGCTGGACCTCAAGTCTGTGTCTGGCGCCGACTCACCGTGTGTTTCGTGCGTCGACGGGAAGCTGGCGCGGCACACCTTCCCTGACCACGGCTCCGAAGCCGACGACGTCCTGGCCGTCGTGCACATCGATTTGTGCGGGCCATTTCGCGTGGCTGCCAAGGATGGCAGCCTATACTTCTTGCTGCTGAAGGACCGCAAGACCCGCTATGTGTGGGTGAGGCCGGTCGCCAAGAAGTCGGACGTGCTGCTGGAGTTCCAGAAGTGGCTGGTGCTGGTGGAGCGGCAGGCGAAGCATTCGGTGCTGCAACTGCGTTCTGATCGCGGAGGGGAGTTCCTCGGAAAGGACTTCACCGCCTTCGTGGACAGCAAGGGAATCGTTCACGACTTAACCTGCCCTTACACCCCGCAGCAGAATGGCATGGCGGAGCGGGAGATGAGGACGGTGGTGGAGTCGGTGCGGACGATGCTACTGCACATGGGCGTGCAGCGCCACTGGTGGCATCTCGCTCTGCGGCAGGCCGTCTGGGTTCGCAACTGCCTGGAGCGGTCGACGCTGCCCGCGGGGACGACGCCGTACCAGCTTCTCACCGGGCAGAAGCCCGACCTGTCACTGGCGCGGGTGTGGGGCTGCATGGCACAATTTCTCGTCCCTGAGCAGCAGCGCGGTGGGAAGCTGAAGCCGAAGGCCCGGTGGGGCCTTCACCTCGGCGTGTCGGAGGAAAGCAAAGGCTGGGAGCTCCTTGACATCGCCGACAACCGGGTGGTCACCACGTCGGACGTGGTGTTCTACGAAACTCTGTCGCTGGAGGTGTGGAAGTCGGAATTCGGGCCCGCGTCGGGGCGGACGCGGGCCAACCCGCCGACGGACACCTCGACGGCGACGCTTCCTCTGCTCGCCGAGGTCGGTGAGCAGGCTGATGAGGATGTCGCGGTCGCCCCTGCCTCGCCATCTCCTGCCCCTTCTTCCCATTCCCTTCCCGTCGAACTGCGTGGCCTGCCTCCAGTGTCGGCCTCCGGCGATGAGGGGAGTCGTGGGGCGTCGCCTGTGGCGCCGGCCAAGAGCATCGCCGGTGGCCGACGTGACGCCCAGCCAGTCGCGGAGAAGAGGACCGTGGAGGAGTCCGCGAAGAAAACCGCGACGGGCACCGCGAAGGGCACCGCGGAGGACACCGCGAAAACCGCGAAGGAAACCGCGACGGGCACCGCGAAGGGCACCGCGGAGGACACCGCGAAAACCGCGGACGAGACCGCGGACGAGACCGCGGAGGAGATCGCGGAGGAGACCGCGAAGAAGCCCACGGAGGAAACCGCGGAGCAGTTGACAGGGGAGCAGTTCGATGAAGGCACATTGAGCGACATGGTAGAGGTGCAGCCCGGACCTCGGAAGTCGGGCCGAATTCGGAGGCCACCCGATTTTTTCGTCCCCGCTGCCTTCACCACGGTGTACGACGTGGACGACGACGACCTGACGTACGATGACGCCGAGGACGATGAGGCGTTTTCGGAGCTCGACCCCGACATGCACGCCGATCCCGAGCACCGTTGGGACATTTCGACCATGACGGTGAAGGAGGCGTTGGCGAGCTGGAAGGCCCGGCGGTGAAGGCCGCCATGGAGGAAGAGATTCGTAGCCTCATCAACATGGGCACTTGGGAGCTGGTCGAACGCCCGCCGGGGGTGAACATAATGAAGAACCGGTGGGTGCTGACAACGAAGTACCGCATCGACGACACTGTCGAGCGCGAAAAGGCGAGGCTGGTCGTGAAAGGCTTCACGCAGGTGTATGGCGCTGACTACGACGAGACGTACGCGCCGGTGAGCAGCTACGTCACGCTGAGGATTTTCCTCAGCATCGTCGCCGTCCTCGACCTCAACCTGATGCAGCTGGACATGAAGAACGCCTTTTTGCAGAGCAAGCTCGATCGCGTGCTGTACATGTACCAGCCGGACTACTTCAACGACGGGACCGGCCGGGTGTGCAAGCTGCTGAAGAGCCTCTACGCGCTGAAGCAGTCGCCGCTGCTGTGGTACACGGCTCTCAACGACGTGTTGGTTGGCGCCGGGTGGAAGAAGAGCCAAGTCGATGAGGCTCTGTACTTCAAGGCCGGCCACGACAAGGTGACCTGCTGGGTGCTGGTCTACGTCGACGACCTTCTCGCCGCGAGCAGCAGCACCGCGATGCTGAAGGAGCTGAAGGAGCTGCTGGAGGCCGCTTTCGAGCTGCGCGAAATTTCGCCGGTGCAGAAGTATCTCGGCCTGGAGATCGTGCGCGACAGGCCGGCGCGAAAATTGTGGCTGCACCAGCAGGGCTACGCCGACAAGCTGCGCATGCGCTTCATCGACGAGGAGCAGACCGGGCGCACTCCGAAGACGCCGGTCTCCGTCGCCGCCTACGCGGAGCAGACATTCGACGACGAGGAAGCGCAGGAGCGCGAGGAGGAGGAGTACCGGCAGAAGGTTGGCTCGCTGCAGTTCGCGGCGACGACGACGAGGCCGGACATCGCATTCGCGTGCAGCAAGCTGGGGAGCGGCCTCACGGTGAGGAGCGACCAGCACTGGCGCGAAGTCGACCGCTGTCTCGCCTACCTCGCTAACACGCGAGACACCGCCCTGGAGTACGGTGGTGGTCCGGAGTCACTGGAGTTGGTCGGTTTCGTGGACGCCAACGACGCGGGCGACAAGCAGAACCGGATGAGCACGGGCGGCTACGTGTTCGTCTACGGAGGGGCCGCGGTCTCCTGGTCGAGCCAGCGCATCAAGTGCGCGACGCTGTCGTCGACCGAGTCGGAGTACGTGGCGGCCGTCGAAGCCGGCAAGGAGGGACGTCGCCTTCGTTTCCTCCTCGCGGAGTTCCAGCGGCTGGACGCCGGAAAGCCGACTGTCCTCAGGATGGACAACAAGTCGGCCATTACAGTCGGCGAGGGCATGGGGTTAACGGGCAACCTCAAGCACATGGAACGGCGACAGGCCTGGCTACAGCACATGGTGAAGCGCGGGAAGTTTTCGCTGAAGTACATCCCGACCGCTGAGCAGCCGGCCGACTTCCTGACGAAGGCGCTGCACTACCCGGCCTTCAACCGGTGCTCCGTTGCAATCGGCCAAGTGCGCCTGGCCGATGTGGGCGACGGTGACAACGACGTGCAGCAGTAGGTGCCATGCCCTCTTGCATGGCTGGTGCGGTGACCGGCGTGCTGTGCGTTGTGTGCACGCCGACGGGCTATTCTCCGAGCAGTACTGCCGTGTGGGCCGGGGGGGGGGGGGGCCAAGCGTGAACGCGGCAGGGGAGTGTCAACGGGAGTTGTGTTTGGCCCCGTCCTCGCTTGGGCGGAGCCGACCGTGGGAGCCACGAAATCGCAGTGGCCCGTGGCAGCCACGAAATCGCAGTGGCCCGTGGCAGCCACGAAATCGCAGTGGCCCGTGGGAGCCACGAAATCGCAGTGGCCCGTGGGAGCCACGAAATCGCAGTGGCCCGTGGGAGCCACGAAATCACGGGGGACCGTGGATCCACGAAACCACGGAGGACCGCGGTGGCCGCGAAACTGTGGGAGGACCGCGAAATACCCGGTCAACCAGGATACCCGGGCGACGTGCGCGAAAGTCGCCGGGGATGTTGTCTACGAAGACGATCTCGGGGGTGGTATCCCGAGGTCGACGTGGCTGGTGGGCGCCGTCACGGGTGAAGTGTCTGCGCTGGGCAAGTGACGGGGAGTTGGGCGCCAATCAGCTGCACGCACCTGCGAAGTTGGTGCACCGTTGTCCCGCGGATGCAACGCTGTGCAGCCGACTTGCTGCAGCGTTGGCACACCGCGGACTGGCAACGTTGGCAAGCCGCGACTCTGCTCTGCTAGAGCGCGGTCGACCAAGTCGTGCTGGCACGCGGTCGACCGTGCTGCGCTGGCAGTCGACCAGCAGCCTTGCTAGGTCTGATGTAGTCAGTGTTGCCAATGTTGATGCAATCATTCTGAACTTTTGTTGTCATGTTTTCCTAGTGAAACTCTTGCCAATTTTCCCCGTGAACTAGCAAGTAGTGTTAGCACTTGGAAACGACTAAGGAACGAACGAACGCAGAGATCACAACGAGCATCCGTGCCTAGCCCGCAGTCTAGCTCCCGTTGCAATAGTTATCTCCACAGTGGAGAGGTGTGAAGTGGTTTGAAGAGCGTTGGCCAATATTTGGAGGCTGCACACACCGAGGCAAGTGCATCTCAATGCGTGAAAAGACGGCTATTGTCAGACTCTTCTTGCATACCTGGGGCGTTAAAAGTGTTGTGAGTGAAGAGGTGTGAAGAGGTGTGAAGAGGCTTGAAGAGGTTTGAAGAGGTGTCAAAAGGTGTGAAGAGTCTCACCTAAGGGAAATATTTCTCGAAGATGCGCCGGTAAAACAGCGCCTACTTGGTCTTGGGCGGGAGGTATGTGAAGAGGTTGGGAGCGGTGTGAAGAGGCGCCAGAAACAGGCAAGTACAGGAAAACCCTCACACATACCTGTGGGAAGTGGTTTTCAAAGATGCGCCGGTAAAACAGCGCCTCCTTGGTCTTGGGCGTGTTGTATGTGAAGAGGAGTGGAGAGGTTTGAAGAGCCTCACCTGTGGGAAGTGCTTTTCAAAGATGCGCCGGTAAAACAGCGCCTCCTTGGTCTTGGGCGTGTTGTATGTGAAGAGGAGTGGAGAGGTTTGAAGAGCCTCACCTGTGGGAAGTGCTTTTCAAAGATGCGCCGGCAGCGCCTCCTTGGTCTTGGGCGTGTTGTATGTGAAGAGGAGTGGAGAGGTTTGAAGAGCCTCACCTGTGGGAATTGCTTTTCAAAGATGCGCCGGTAAAACAGCGCCTCCTTGGTCTTGGGCGTGTTGTATGTGAAGAGGAGTGGAGAGGTTTGAAGAGCCTCACCTGTGGGAAGTGCTTTTCAAAGATGCGCCGGTAAAACATCGCTTCTTTCGTCTTGGGCGGGAGGTGCGTGAAGAGGTTGGGAGCGGTGTGAAGAGGCGTGCGTGAGAAACAGGCAAGTACAGGAAAAACCCTCACACATACCTGTGGGAAGTGCTTCTCAAAGATGTGCCGGTAAAACAGCGCCTCTTTCGTCTTGGGCGGGAGGTGCGTGAAGAGGTTGGGAGCGTTGGCCATCATTTGATCCGACACCATGCGCTCTGCATGCGCCTTGAGCACGTCTATCCAGCTGTACCCCACGCCGTCAGAGAATTGTTCTTTCTGGCGGTAGAGAATGTCCTGAAAAAGGGGACAGGAACAGCAGAGAGAGGGGAGCAGAGGAGAAGAGGAGATTGGGATGGTGAGCCATCATCTGATCCGACACCATGCGCTCTGCATGCGCCTTGAGCCCGTCTATCCAGCTGTACTCCACGCCATCGCTGAACTGCTCCTTTTGGCGGTAGAGGATGTGCTGATAAAGGGGATAGGGGTGTTTCAGGCATAAGATGGGAGAAAGGTAGGAGCAGAGGAGGAGGGGAGCAGCAGGGGAGGTTGGGAGCGTTGGCCATCATCTGATCCGACACCATGCACTCTGCATGCGCCTTGAGCCCGTCTATCCAGCTGTACCCCACGCCATCAGAGAATTGTTCTTTCTGGCGGTAGAGAATGTCCTGAAAAGGGGGACAGGAACAGCAGAGAGAGAGGAGCAGAGGAGAAGAGGAGATTGGGATGGTGAGCCATCATCTGATCCGACACCATGCGCTCTGCATGCGCCTTGAGCCCGTCTATCCAGCTGTACTCCACGCCATCGCTGAACTGCTCCTTTTGGCGGTAGAGGATGTGCTGATAAAGGGGATAGGGGTGTTTCAGGCATAAGATGGGAGAAAGGTAGGAGCAGAGGAGGAGGGGAGCAGCAGGGGAGGTTGGGAGCGTTGGCCATCATCTGATCCGACACCATGCACTCTGCATGCGCCTTGAGCCCATCTATCCAGCTGTACCCCACCCCATCGGAAAATTGCTCCTTTTGGCGGTAGAGGATGTGCTGATAAGGGGGATAGGTTGGGAGTGTGGGAAGAAAAAGGAAACGGAGGAGGAGAGAGCAGGTGTTGAGGTGAAAGGGAGAAGGTGTTGAGAAGAAGGGGGGAGAAGAGTTGGAGAAGGTGTTGAGGAAAAGGGGAGAGAAGAGACTTGGATCGAATGAGCGGAACAGCGTTTCTTTGGGAGATGTATCTTCTGTTGAAGCTTGCCATAAATAAAAACAAACAAACAAACAAAGAAAAAAAAAATACAAAACAAAGACATAAACCGATCTATTTCCGAGTCAAACTCAAAAATCTCCCATCTTGGGTAGGTAAGGCTCAATGCGTTGGGTCAGTCTGACTCATTAGTTACCTTGGGTAGGTAAGGCCTCTCCTCATCATCAAAGGCTCGTCGAATGACCCACTTCTCTATGCGCCTGTCCTTCTTGCGAATCATCTTATACTGAGGATCAATGCTCATTGCCACGTCAAGAAACTCCTTATCCAGAAAGGGTACCCGCACCTCCAGCCCCCATGCTGACGTGGCCTTCTTGGCCCTCACGCAATCATACATGTGAAGTGCCTTGAGCTGATTGGAGGGATGGTGTTGGGGTAAGAGAGCATCGGGTCAGGGCAAGGGTAAGAGGGAGAGTGTTGAAGGGATGATTGGAGGGATGGGGATAAGTTGGGGTGGGTGGGGGTGGGGGTGGGGGTGAGGGTGGGGGTGGGAGTGGGGATGAGGGTGGGGTTCAGGAGGGTGGAACGAGGGGAGAGGGGTGAAGGCAATCGTACATGTGGAGAGCCTTGAGCTGATTAGAGGGATGGGGTTGGGTTGAGAACGGTGAAGGGATGGACAGTATTTTGGCGGTTGGTTTGACCACGGGAACAGACAAGGGATTAAGTGTGAAATAAAGGGAGAAGGGATTGGGTCGACACACAGAGGCACACACAGAGGCACACACACACAGTCCCACACACACAGTCCCACACACACAGTCCCATACACACAGTCCCACACATAGTCCCACACACAGTCCCACACACAGTCCCACACACACCCGTACATTTTCCCCCACCTTAAGACATGTCTCCCAGTGAAAGTCCTCCTTGCTGGGCGCCTTGTGAAAGTACAGGTAACCCCCAAACACCTCGTCGCTACCTTCCCCAGATAGCACCATCTTCACCCCCAGCGCCTTGATCTTGCGGCTCAGCAGAAACATGGGCGTGCTGGCGCGGATTGTGGCGACGTCAAAGGTTTCCGTGTGGTAAATCACTTCGGAAATCGCGTCTATGCCCTCTTGTACAGTGAAGTGTAAGTGGGAAGATGGTAGTCGACAAGGGGAAAGTTGGGAAATTAGGAAGAAAAATGACAGATTCGTGGAACAAACATATAATGATGCAATGCAACCATGCGTACAGCACTAGTAGCAGATGCGACGGCAGAGATGAAACGAGAGTACGCTGCACGCACCAGCAGATAAGACGGTTGAGTTGAAGCCAGTGGGCTTACCTCGAGGCCGATGCAGTAGGAGTGCAGCTGCGCCCCCCACTGCTTCCCCGCCGCTTCAGTAGACTCAGGGATTTTGGCGTTGCAAGGAATTGACTACAGAAGGGGCAATACACTACGTCGCACCTCGAGGCCGATGCAATAGGAGTGCAGCTGTGCCCCCCACTGCTTCCACGAGTCGAGGCCCCCTGCTTTCTCGGCGCGTAATGATAGTTAGTAAGGGCAACGCACCTCAAGGCCGATGCAGTAGGAGTGGAGCTGAGGACCCCACTGATTTCCCAGGTGACGCTGCGCGACGGCGGCGACGAGCGAGGAGTCGAGGCCCCCCGATAAAAGCATGCCGAACGGCACCTCCGTCATCAGCCGCTTCACGACGGCCTTCTCGAACGCGACGCGCAGCGCGAGCGGGTCGTACGGCGCGGACGGGATGTGCTCGTCGTACCACGCGGGGTTGTACCAGCGACGAGGCATTTCTGGCGGATAGGAACAGAAACGCAGGAGTTCAGGAGATATATGTAAGAAAAGGAACAGAAATGTAATGACAAAAATAGGAGAAATTTCAGGGGAAACAAATCGAATTCAGCTTGAAGCAAAAGACTCACTGGCTTTGCTGGAGTAGACATCGCCCGGCGAGAATGTCTCGAATTGCTCGCAGTCGTCTTTAAGAGCCTTCATTTCAGACGCGAACCACAGGGAGCCGTCGCGACCCCATCCGATGTAGAGCGGACGCACGCCGATGTGGTTGTGCGCCGCGACGTACGAGCCGTCCTTAGTGTTGAGCAGCACGAACGCGAAGATTCCGTCCAGCTTCTGAACCACCGCATCGCCCACGTCTTCATACTGGAGAAGGGCGGTGAAGAAATAAGAGACCTAACAAGCTACCGGGAAGCACGGCGTGCCCGTCTGACGGACAAGCTACCGGGAAGGGAGCCTCATTACGGCATATCCGAAATCATCGTAAGAGACAATCTTACGGATAGATAAATTGAAGGAGGGGGTTCGAGTGGAAAAGTGTAATAACGAGGATGTTCAAAACATGCAAGTTGATAAACGAGCAAACGAAAAAAAAGAAAGCCAAATCTGCAAACGAGTAGTTGGAATAAAGTAACTTATTATGAGCAGTAAAAAGGTCCGAACCAAGACCAGATTAGTCGCTCATCCCGTCGTATCAGTGTACGCACGAGACGCGCGATGACTTTACGAAATCCGCGCGATGACTCATCGGACGTACGAGATGCGCGATGACTTCGCAATCGCTGCCGGTGTTGAACGTGTGGCTATTAATTGAGATAAATACACTACCGGATAAAACCAAAAACAATATAAACACGACAGATTGCACATATTCGTGTAAAACTTTACAGCAGTCAGTTCAACCACTGTATGTTGCGTTTTGTTGGAAATTTAATATATTAAAGCTGATAGTACATGGCTAAATCATAAATGCCTACTGCCACATCACTACACTAACCAGGGAACACTAGCTTAGCACGCTGTAGCTAGTTCTATTCCAAAGGACTCCACCACATGTGTTGTAACGCATTTGCTTCCTTGCTGAAACTCCCACACAATAGATTATCAGCAGTAGACACCAAAGAAAGAGTCAGGCAGAGAACGCGACAACAACCACAGCTACTTACCGTGTACGAAAGGACGGTAAAGCACTTATGCCATGGTCCTTAAAAACACTGCAAAAAACAAGTCGGAATACCATGGTTCATAAGCATGGGGGCAAGAACTCCCGACATTGACGAAACTCACCTGAAACGCTGGACCACGCATATTCGCTCTGTTGGAGTGTGAAGGGAATTATACTTAGCATTCCCGTAGGTGCAGCAGTATCGCACCTGACTTTGTCGAAGCAGCAACTACCGCAATATCGGATCAGCCTGTAACAAGGGCAGGAAGGTCAACAGTCGCAAGAGTCAACTGTCGCGACTGTTGACCATCTGGACCGACGCTTGACCTACCATCGAGGAATGGCAACAGGCGTAACCGTACAGGTTACATGCAGCGACTCGGTAACAAGAAAGGCAGCACAACAGTCAGAGTCACTGTAGAAATGCCTGTAAAACAGTTATAATAAGGGAATGTACCCCTTAGAGTACATGGCTAGACTATGACTATTTATATTCCTTGTATTCTATCTTTTAATCAACTTGGTCATTTACATTCACTATGATCTGAGTTCTTACAAGACTTCCGCTACCAACTCTACCAAGGCACTTCCTATCCTATCCAAGATCCTTACTCTAACATGGTATAAGAGCTAGTTTGGATTATAGGATCTGCTAAAAGGGCTTCCGACAAAGCTTCTTTATAAATTAATCTCAACATCAACAACATCAAGGGCATCAACATGCCAGGCGCAGACTGCGGAGAGACTGGAGAAAATCCAGTGCAACCCTCCACCAATGTCGCCTCTACTACGACGACTGTGGACACAGCGCTTCTCGAGCAGCTAATCTCCCGCATCAGCGCACTGGAGAGCCACCAGCCAATGAGCATTGACGGCTCAAGTTACGCCCGCAGACCTCCCGATCCTCAAGGAGCTGGATCTGAGCGATCCTTCACCTTCGACAACCGCGGAGTTCAAGGATCTGCTCAAGCACAACAAACACATTACGAGGCAATGGCTTCAATGCAGAGCAAGTTCCTCTCCACGTCGAAGCTCAGAACTACCAAGCCCTTCGACGGACAAGATTTCTACACGTGGAGCTTCGAATTTGAGCTACTAGCTCAAGGCGCTCAGATCTGGATGTATTACGACGGGTCGTGCGCATTTCCGACCAATGGCTCACCTCAGGAGAAAAGTCAGTACTACAACGAATCACTCCTGGCCTTCACCGTCCTGATACGAAACCTGTCGCCTGAAGAACAGCTGAGCATTCGCCCCTTCAAGAACGAATGGGCGCCCGCGCAACAATCCTGGGAACACCTGCGCACCTGCCACATGGCAACAGACTCGGTGACACTTAGTCGCCTGCTCAACCAACTGAACAACGTCAAGATGTTTCCCGGCGAGAAGGCCGGCCCATACATCAACCGCTGCAGGAACCTGAGAGATCAATTAAGGAAAATCGGCGGAAACTTCCCTGACGATATGTTCGTCACTATCATCCTCGCTGGATTGAGCCCGGAATGGCGCCAATGCAAGTCACTCCTTCGCATGCAAGGAACCCTCAGCGAAACTGCCCTCTGCTCCACGCTTCTCTCTGAGCATAAGGAAATCGACCTGTACAACGAACGAGGCAACAAGAAGGAGAAGATCGCCTTTTACGCTCAAGCGCCACCAGACAAGAAAAGACTCTTCTGCAAGTACTGCAAGAAGACTGGGCACATGATTCAAGACTGCTGGAAGCTGAACGGCAACAACAACAACCAGAAGGGTGCCGCTGCTCACCATCAAGGAGGAGCCGCAGCGCGCAACCAAACAGTGTCGCCGCCAGCCGTCGCCAGCACGTCCCAAGCCCCGGCGCGTCTCTCTGCGAACACAAGCGACAAGGGCAAAAGCAAGGTCTTGACTTGCATGGTGCGTCGTGGACCACCTCGCCCCAACCGTCACTATCGCTTCTTCTGCAGCCTGTAAGACATGTTCGCAGACCCGCCTCTGGAGCGGCCCGAAGGATCAGTCGAAGAAGAAGAGGAGAATGATCCAACCTACGACGAGTTGACGGTCGGACGGATGCAGTTTGATTGGGAAGCGCCGGAGTGGATTTAGGAGTCACCACCTGCACGCATCGTAGACGACAACGAAGAATGTTACTACGACTAAGAAAATGATCACGACATGGAACATCACGTCACTCCGAAGCTTGCCAATCTGGCCAAAGCAAGAAAGGAAGTCAACACGTGGTACCTGGACAGCTGCTGTGGTCAGCATATGGTGTCCTCAGATGTCTTCATCCTCAACAGAGAGCGACTCTTTAACGAAGTGGAGATCACCGTCGCCAACAGCCAGACCATCTACGCCAGAAGCCGCGGACAAGTGCAACTGGAGTCACACGACACCGGCTACTGCATCCACATAAGCGACGTCCTCATCGTGCCGGAACTCCGGTACAATCTCTTGTCACTTCACCAGCTGATGAAGTGCGGGGTTGGCCTGCAAACAACAGAAGACGAAATGCACTTAATATACAACGGCATCTTCATCGGAAAAGCAACAAGTGTGGAAGGCGTTTTCGTGCTCGACTTCGAGTCGCCAAGAACCACCGGCGACAACGAACACATCCTTGTCCTTGACCCTCCGGGTCACCCGTCGCCGCCAAGATGGAGTCACCCAGAAGAGACCGATTATCAACAACCCGGCCTCGACGGAACCTTCCGCGCTCTTGCCGTACCCGTTGCCTCAACCACGAACCCTGCAGACACTGGACCACGGGCGGTGGAAGAAGGCGAAGAAATCACATCAGAAACAGCAGCTACAACAACGGAAACGGCCAACACTGAAGCCGGAGGATGGGCACGAGCAATCTGGCCTCGCGTCGAGCAACCTACCGGTTGGAACACCACCGAAGGCTGGGACGCCGTGGACACACGCTGGATCATGGAAAATACTGCGTTCGGAGAAGCTGTTGCAGCTGAAACTGGATGGGGCAACATCGCCGACGCACCTGCAGAAGAAGAAGCAGCAGAGGAACCGGAAATTACTGAAGAGGCACCAGAAGCCGAGGAGGAGGAGCCACTGACAGAATACGGACCTCACCTGCTTCCCATCACAACGGACGGCAGAGACTATCTTCGCCTCGAGACAAGGGGAGTGGCGATCGGCGATACCTCATTCGAGGAAGACGAAGTTGCGCAACCCGAAGATCGCCACGCACGAACCTCGCGTCCAGAAAAGCCGTTGGAGCTACCGGTGACGATGGACACTGTCACCACCGGCGACACCAGCGGAACGTATCATGGGGTGACAATTCAAGCAGCAGTAGTCCAAGTCACCGTGCCCGATGAACCTGCGGACGCAACAAGGCAAGAAACAGCGGAGGAGATATTAGCGCGCGAGAAGGAGCTGTACACGCGCACTAAGGGATATCGGGCCGACGGAGACATCTGGCATCAACGCATGGGGCACCCATCAATCGAAGTGCTCAACAACTGCATCAACGCAAATGTTTTTGCGGCAGACGCACTGTTGCTGCCCGATGGCAAACTGCTGAAACCACGAACCGGCCTGCCTACCTGCACCGTCTGCCCGGCAGCTGCGCTCCGCCACACGCCCTTCGCTGAGAAGATTCCTGGAGCTGAGCGATATAAACCGCTGGAGAAGGTCTACAGCGACTTTTTAATGCTCACGGCGAAAGGAGCCGGCGGGGAACAATACACCCTTACCTTCATCGACGCTGGCACCCGCTTCGTCTGGGCCGTTAACGTTCAGGATCGCTACCTCGCCTACGCTTGCTTCGAAATCTAGCTCGCCATGGCAGAAAACCAAAGCAACGGCTACAAGCTGAAGGCGTTCCAGACAG